TACAGCCTGGAGGACAGTGACCAGTGTCATCAGACACTTTGTTTCTCATCACACATAGTCATCTCCCAAATGGTAGATGTACGGTGTTCAAAAATTTGTTAAAGATTGAGTTACGCTGCCTGGAATTTTTCTGTTCAAATCTTTCTCATAACAAAAAATGGTACATTTTCAGCACCTCGGGACCTATCTCAAATATAGAAATACCTCATGTACCAAAAAGAATTTTAACCACCTCTTTCAGTTCTCAACCAGATCAATTCCTTTATAAACCAAATTATTTTCATATTAATTCAAGACTCAATGCGATTTTGAAATCGGAGAGTAAAAGGGTGACAGGCAGAGCAGTTCAAGGTGTAACATGGACCGACATCGCTGGTAAGCAACTTTAAAGACAAAAAGATGTGTGCACACAGAAACAAAAAAGCGTTGGAGTATTAAGATAACATCAAGTACAGGGTGTGTCTGTTTGGATTAACATGTATTGTAAGTGAGCACTATATACACATTTTAACAGCTGCAATGTCATTCTGTTCCATTGATAGATACAGAACTTGCCAAATTTTTATATACACACAAACACAAAACCTATGGAGAAAGCCAGCTAAGCAGTCTCATCAGTTCTGATGTTTTCTTTCTGGAGCAATACAAAAGACAACAGATATTTGCTTTTAGCATTAATGGAAAGCATGTTTTTTGTTTCTTTTTTCCTTTAGATATCTCTTCTCTCCCCTTTCTAAGTCACCGGCTTTATTCATTTATTTTATCCTTGACTCATAATTTATTGTAGACAACCCGAGTCTTGTTCCAAACACAGAAATACTCCTTTTTATGGGTCTACGGTGCATGCATAGTAAACATTTTTATACTTAGAAAACTGTTACACTTACCTTCACAGTAGTGTACAAGAATTATTACCCTCATTTGTCATATCAAAATCTAAAGCAAAATATTTAGAATTGTTTAAAATGTTAAGTATTTTGGGGTGGCCTGTTTAAAACCCCTAGAATTTGAATTTCCTCAGTGGTCAGCACTTCTAAAGTGTTGTCAGCACATCCCACTGACACAGCTATACTTCTAGAAACTAAGAGATCACAATGGCAATCTATATTCTGAACGGAGGCACTCTCCTACTAATCGGAGATCCCTCTCCATTCTGTCACGCAGAATGCGTCCCACTATTTGACTCCAGCTCTTGCTGGGGTTTACACCCATCACTCACTCTACAGCTATTTATCCAGTTGCCAACACATCGGAGTGTAGATGCCACCTACCTTCACCTCAGTTTTCATCTAGCACAGATGTCCTGGTCTTTCTCACTTTATTTCTTCACACTTAGTAATTCTACTTTTTATGCACCTTCCCACTGCACTCCAGTTTGGTGGGTTCTGTCCCTGGTAAACCTCATGCTGGCTATGGGGAGAGCATGGAGGGTACCGGATGAATCAATCCCATCAACACGGGACCACGCAGCAGCCTCTTGATAATCAGAAAGGCTGAGACCTGTGCAGACTTATCAGCCCCAAACTACCATTTCCTCAGCGCAAACAGAGAATTTTCAGAATTCACAGTAAGTTCTTAACAAACCTCTCTATGTAACTTGCATAAATTTGGGCAAGTTTCATGAGAAGAGTGAAACGCGTGTCTTTAGTTGCTGTAAGAACCCAGAAATATACCAGATTTTCCTAATAAATTACTTTACTAATAAATCCAGGAATATCTAGATTTAAATTATCTAAAATTAAAGCAGGAACCTTTAAGTTAAAGGACAAAAAATGAAGCATTAAACACCTACTTCTGTAATCAATCAACTTCAAACAATACTTTAAAGTAGAAAATCTGATAAGAAACAGATTAATGAACTCTCTTCATTTCTACGTAAATCATCTCCAAGAAGCAGTAAGTGACACCTCTTTCCAAATTTTTCTGCTAATAATTCACAGGTGACTTTATACCACAAGTCACCATTGTATAGAGTATGACAACATGACACCTTTTTAAACACAATAGCCAAAGTGCTTAAAATAGGTAATTATTTATATTAGATGTGATGATATTTTGATTGAGAAAGTCTTCAGATGATTTACACTGCAGTTATTTGAAGCGTTAAGCCACAGAACACTGATATTGAAAACTGAAATAAAGAAGGCTGAGAAGTGTTAAATATTATGGAAAAAAGGGTAAACTTATTTTTAATAAAGAAGAATTATCTTGTCATATAATACAACGTTTAGTATGCACTTCATAGCAAATACAAATTGATCTCCATCAATATGACTGATACTGTAAAATAAATATACTGTAAAATTATTCTCACTAGAAAACATAAACGTCCTTTCCTTTGCTGAAGTAATCAAAAGCATAAAAATCAAACTTTTTTCTCCACCATCTTTTGACCCATGACATAGTTTCACTAGTCTGCTAAGTTTTACAAGATCAAAAAAAAAAAAAAAGTTTAACACTGCGCTTTTTGCTTGTAAAACATAAGGGTAAATTCACAATCACCCCACCATCACAGCTATGAATTTCTGCTTTCCCTGGAGTTTAGGGAATGTCGGCTCTGTTGCAAAATTAGGTGTGAATAAATCTCATTCAACAGCTAAGCAGAGAGGCAAAACAGGAAATATAGTTAGAAAGCAGATAAAACAATAGTTTCAATCTTTGTATTCTCAGTAAGTCAGAGAAGAAAATTTTCATTTCATTTCTTAAAATTAGAGAAATTTCTCAGAAAAAGACAGGCTGTTTTTCCACAAGTAATTGTGGACAGAACACAATCCTATGGCTATACGTCTCACATATGCATTCACGATGCCTGCAACACCACATAAAGCGGAAAAGACTTTACCTGAGGAGAAAAATGATGAACAAATATTCTCACAAAGAGGCAGGGGACAACATCAGATGTCTCGCATAGTCTCCCCTAAATTTATTTTCACTAAGCACAATGACACTCTTTGCATTGAACAGCAGCCTTTTCCAGAGAGCAGCGGTATCACCAGTTTGTCACATGTTTTCTGGTACTGTTTGTCAAACCTCTGCTGCCCATAAAATGCAAAGTCCCCCACAAAAGCCAGAGTACAATCACACCAAACAGGGATATTATTCCTGGATCTTACCAATAAGGCACTTGTGAGCTGAGAAGGCCCTTAAAAACATGCAGAATTCCTTAACTCTTGACCCACAATAATTTTAGAGGAAAAACTATAGTTCTAGAAATAAAGCCATTAAAAGAAAAAAGATCAGTATAGTCAATGCAGGCAGTATAGTCAATGCAGGCAGCATCATTTCCCGATTCTATGATTCTATTCTATGATTTACTTGAAAAGCATGACGGGACTGGAGTCAGCCTCTGGGTCCTGCAGCAGTTCTGAGTGGTTTTACCCTCTTGGCTTGTCTCTTCCTACACCTGTCCACACTTTTTCTGCTGTCATGTTTCTGCCTCTAACCCCACTTCCCTTTTGCTATTATTTGTATACTCGTTCTCTGCCTTTTTTCAACATAGAATCATAGAATCATAGAATCTTTTAGTTTGGAAAAGACCTTTAAGGTCATCCAGTCAAACCATTAACCTACACTGCCAAGTCCACACTAAACCAATCAAGGGTAGACTAGACTAAACCATGTCCCCAAGTGCCACGTCTGCCCATTTTTTGAACACTTCCAGGGATGGGGACTCCACCACCAATCTGGGCAGCCTGTTCCAATTCTTGACCACCCTTTCCGTGAAGAAATTCTTCCTAATATCCAATCTAAACCTTCCCTGGCGCAGCTTGAACCCATTTCCTCTTGTCCTATCACTAGCTACTTGGGAGAAGAGACCAACACCCACCTCACTACACCCTCCTTTCAGGTAGCTGTAGAGAGCGATAAGGTCTCCCCTCAGCCTCCTCTTCTCTAAGCTAAACAATCCCAGTTCCCTCAGCCGCTCCCCATCAGCCCTGTGCTCCAGACCCTTCACCAGCCTTGTTGCCCTTCAATCTTACTCAATCCTGGAGCTTCCCTTGGATCCTCTAATATTTACCCTTTCTACCACCATCTCCAAAGTAGCCCCAATGACAGCAAGCCATAGATGCAGAAGACAAGGCCACTCCGACACGCCATGAGATGAACCGCCTGCACTACACCTCCACTTCCAGCCCTAAATAAAGCAGGACCGAGTAGCTCCTGCAGGTTTATGACAGGTGGTTGTATTGCAACATTATGTAGTAATCAAAGTGAAAAGGACACCATTCCATAATTATAACAAACCCTTACCTAAAGTCAGAATGAAAGAGAAAAATCATATTTTCAGATACTGCCTGATTTTTTTTTTTTTTTTCACTTTCTAAAGAACAGCCTTCAGCTGTAAGAAAGGGAAAAATCATAATATAAGACTGGCAATAAAATTAACAGTTAAATAATCAGCTGTTAGGAAAGTTGCTTAAGCAAAACTGTAGCTATTTCTGGAGTAGAGGCTGCAGCACTTTGCCTGCAGCTGAAGTGACTGGTATCAACTGTTTTTGAAAGATGCTTTTTTCATATCTTTGATTAACATAATTCATGACTGAAGTTGAATGTTAATGTTTCCAGGATGCTCAGCTCCATCACCATCTTTATTTTATTGTCTTGACTTCCTGACTTGCTAGACAAATATGGTTTTATCATTCAACAAATCACAGATCTTGGTCACAGAACTAAAATGCCAGATTAATCAGACTTCGTATTATTTGGAACTATATAGCTAGATTTTTCAAGGACCCTAGGGCAAAAGAGGCCTTCTTTCTCTCTGTCACAGCCTCTGCATATGAGCACAAATTATTCCTTATAATTCAAGACCATGAGCAGCAAACACCTATTCCTGATTAAAAATAACACAAATCAATGTCTGCACTTTGCCTCTGCAGTCTGAGGAAATGGACCTGAAGGAAAAGGGAAATTTGAGTGCTGTTCAAGACCCACTTAGTTCAAAGCACTGTAGATTTCATGGGGAAACACTCCATTTTCCATCCACTTCGGATACTTACATCAAATTCATTTAGCGCAGCAGCAAGCTCTCCAATGCCAGTGTGCCCCTTGTTCTCATCGGTGGGTGAGGTGGCCTGGGCAGCATTGGAGATGCCAGCAATTGCTTCTTGTACTTGCTTGAAGACATAGTCTCTGTTGGCCCTGGTGGCTGCAACGTCAGGGTGACGGAGGAACGCTTGGGATGCAGTGTACAGCATGGTGGCGTTCTTCTTCAGAGCACCTCGAGCTGCAGCCATTTCGTCCCTGCAGTGAGGATCTTTCAGTTCCTACAGGAAAACACGGAATTTTTATAGTTGTAAATGAAATTTTTCGTGTTGGAATGTATGGTCTATACAGCTTAAGTGTCTCTGCATAAATACTGTCCAGTGATTTTGCACAGATGGAATCAATGACAGAATCTACCATAAAACACAGAAAGAAATCTCCCTCCTGCCCAAGAAAGTCCATTCCTCCGTGTAGCTACAGCTGTTACATTCTGCTCACAATATCTTCTCATCAAAGAGTCCATATGCTTCCCTTATTCAAAGACCCACAGAAAATGTATATAAAGCATTCCGAGTTACTCTTCCTGATTGACTGGGTTCAGTCTGCTGATTCCATAAGGCAATGTGAGCGCAACAATCCTGCTGCAGCAAGTGCCATAATTTTGTAAGTACTATACCTATGTCCTTCATAAAATCATCATAAGGTAGAACTTTAAAAAAATCTGAAACTAAAAATATTATATTGATGAATATGTATTTAGTTCTTAAAGACCTAATAAATATGCCCCTCATTATTTCTAGCCTTTCCTTCATACTTTGTTCTATTCCTCATATCATTTAGTGTTTGTTTTAATGACATACACTATCTTTTGTTTCCTCTGACAACAAGCATCAGATACTGTATACTATGTTACCAGAATACGATGACACTGTATTATTGTCATTTAACCCATGAATTTATTTTATAGGATATATCACACTGGCCATGAAAGCCTCTCAAACATCAGGTAAACTAGTCCTAACAATATTCATAAGGAGTAACAAAACATTATTACCTCTATTTTAAAACTATGAGCAAAGAAGTCTGGAGACCTGAATAGTTTACTTATGTTCACACATAGAATCCATGGCAAAAATTAAAAAAGAACTCAGATATTCTGGAGTTAAAGGTTCCACCCATTGACGAATTTCAACCACACATGACTGACAGGTAACAGGTTTCAGATAGAATTAAGTTCCTGAAAAATTTATCAGGCTACAAAACAGAAGAGGTGAAAGGAAAATGTACGAACATCCGAGTAGTAAGTTCTAATGCTGTCAAGATTTTCTATGATTGTACGGAAAACCTTACTGGCATTAGAAAAAAGCACCTTAAGTAGAAAATTTTAAAAGGTTTATAACTAAGATTTTCTTTTCATACCTCCAATAAGAACTTAAGAGACATATACCTTCACTAGCTTTCACATTTTTCTCTTTTTCCCACATTTTTCTCTTTTTCTTGTATTTGTAGCTACACTTCCACAAGGGAAGTGTCTGAACATACAGAATAGTACTGTTTGTATAGTGACTAGATTTTACATTTTTCATTTATTTCATTTCAGTAGAACTCTGAAAATGTTATATTTCATTAAAAAAAAAAAACAATAGTGATACAGAAGCAAATTGTCATTACTGTAATGCAGAAAAATAAAGTAAATAGACATATGGATATGGAAAGCCAGCTTTCTAAATCTGGTGTGCTACGCAATACAAAGACGACACACCCCTGAATGAGCGGTGGCATTCAAACACAATCGCAGCTGGAGAGACCTCGTACACCTCCACAGTGTCTGGAGTCATAGAAAGAACAGTGTTCAGGAGAAAGCTATCTTTATTGCAAAGTTGCATAATTGGGGGCATTGAATAAATATTATCATGAGTTTCTGGTCTTTTTTCCATCTGCCTCAGTAATGAACGAATTCATACTTGGTTTTTTTTTAAATAGCTGAAAATTACTAATGATGGTTTTAAACACAAAGTAGATTTCTGTTCTTCCTGTATTTGAATAATACTAGACTACCAAAGAGCTCATGCTTTACCAGTTGTCAGAGTGACCTCAAATCAGCGTAGGTTAGAATTAAATGGGAATCGTCATCAAATGAAAACTATCCTTAACCTCCTGAATCACTTGCCTTTTCATCCTTCATTCTGCTATTAATTGAAGCCACTTGGAAAACACTGTTAAAGAAACTGCATTTTTTAAAGACTTCATCACACTCAAAAAAATTAATGTGATTAAAATATAGGCCATGACACAGCAATTACTTATTGTACATTTTAAACCAGACTTGGTCATAAAATACAACATCTTCAGAACCAAACCTAACTTTCTCAACCACTGCTTTAAAATGTACTCACCTGTTGCCGTCTAGCAGCTACATAGTTCAGTTTTACCATCTCTTTTCCAAATTCTTTAAAGCGATTTGCCAAATCTTGCTCATTTGTTGCATTTTTCACTGCTTCTAGTGCTTCCTCTACCTAGAACATAACATATCAACTGTGTCAGCATTTTAATCCGGATGCAGTCTTTGATAAAGTCTATAACTATTCTACCCAATACTCTCTATTGTATGGAACCTACTTAGCTTTTATGTCCGTCACTCTACAGTGGCTTTATGATAGTCCCACTAATTTTAATTAGGTTTCTTCATAGAGAAGTTGTCTGATTGCCATTCTGCATTACTTTCCATTTACTGTACTTTGGTATCATGTAAAACTAACGTAAAGGGCACAACTATATTAATTTCCCCACCCACACTTATCAGATGAAATGTTTAATGTCTGCAGGTTTTAAAACAAAATAGATGAATATGTTCTTAATGTGTGGTGCAGGCTTTATAGGAAAACAAAGGGAAGTTATTAATTCTGGACAAGAAAATAGCGTTTAAAAAGGAAACTCAAACTTACCATTAAGATTCAAATTCACCCTGATATATACAAAACACTGTATCATTGTGAAGTAAATGAAACAACAACAGATTCAACCCAGAATATATTTATTATTTCTTTTTTCTTAGCTCTCAGCTTCCCTTTTTCAGTTACTTTAAAACTGAGAAAAGAATCTACCAAAGAAAACATACCTGCAGTTACTCAGTCATCCTGTAGCTAACAGGCAAAGATATAAAACCCCAGTTATGCCAACAAGTTCATCTAGCAGATCTATCGTGAAACTTTACCTTATGTACAGCAAGAAAAAAATACCTGAAGGGATAACATGCTCTTTTTGTACAATAAGTAAAGGAAATTTTCCTGTGACTAGATGAAAATTCAAAGTTGTATTTCTCTCCCTCACAAGATAAAAATGCAAATCCAAGCAAAAAGATTGAGAACTGAAAAACTTCTATTCATCCTTCTTTTTAAAACCTATTGCTTCAGCTCATGACAGTGTGCATATGCTTTCAACAACAGACAAACTTTCCCCTCAAAGAGAAACAGCTAATTCTGAAAGGGACACGCTCCTATGCAAGAGCACAGCTTTGCGGCTTGCTCTCCAAACACTGCTGGCAATCCATAAATGCAGCAGTATCTGGTATCTAATGAATTTAGAAAGGCAAAATTTTGTGCAGAACCTGACTTTTTATCATTTGTGTTGCTCAACTGTGTTTTTCTGCGAGCGAGAAAGGATATTCCTATTTTGAGCTTTTACCAACTTACTGCGGATTTACAAATCACAGGGCAGTAGAGTAACAAACCTATACATTTCTACTGGAAAATGTACAATTCAAGCACATAAATCCATAGCTGTTATGTTGGCAATTTTATACTAATTCTGAGAGTTGCAAGCTACATCTTATTCAGAATCCAATTACACCTTCTTTTACTCTTAAGAACAACTGCGGTTTTTAAAGCTGAACTATCTGCCTTAACCACTAACACAAATTACAAAAGCATCACTGTATTAACTAATTTGTTCTTGCAGGATTCCTTGCAAAATATGAACATCTTCCTTTCCTATCAAGAAGCATTTATATTAAACTACCTGAAATTTCCATCTCTAACACGTTTGTAATGACGAGCACAGGCATGACAAACTGATACACATTTTTGGAAGTTCTGCCAGCTCCCTATTAAATAAAATTGCTACAGAATTTGTTACAGATTCCACTCTGATAATCAGATTTTGAAAGATGTTCATCATACTCTACCGTGTCAGTCTGGGCTCAAGCCTGTGAAATTTCAAAATGAAGAATGTGGTTATGAGAAGTATTTGAAAGGACGTGAGCACAACCCCCTTTTTTATTATAATTTCTTTTACAAATTCATGTTGGAGCAAGTTCTCTATCCTCAAAAAACCATGACTTCCCTCAACTGTACAGGTGTGTTCCTCTGATTAACTACCATGTAATTAATTACAATAGACTCAGAATTCTGTATGTGCATGATCACATACTACATTAGTATATGGAATTTTATGAGTGTCACACAAGCTTCACTGCAATTAGCACTATTCCTAATTTTAGTAATGCAAAAGAGAATCTGAAAGAAATGACCGAGTGCCGTTCCAGAAAACATCTGCATATATTTGCTCAAAAACATTAATTAAAATGCACTATTTCCCATGAAGTCTGAAGTGTAACTCACTCCTTTGACATGCTTTCAGTGAAAACTAATTACAGTACATTTCAGTATAAAACAGGCTTCCTAACTTTGACACGCAGAATGATTTTAGTCTATTAATTTTATGGTTAACTTATATCAGCCTTTGAATGTTACCTTTGAGTCAACACAAGAGCTATCCCATCATCAATTTTGTAAAATATATACACTTTTTTTTCCTAGTAACTTAATTTCTATTGATCTAAAATTAGTTTGCATTATAAAATGGTAAGAGAAAAATATTTACACTATCAATCTTCAGAAATAAATTACCCTTTTTAACCTGAAAAAAAAAATAAATTCAAATTTAAGGTTTGTAAGTTGAATTTTGCTAAAAAAAACCCCAGAGATGTCTGGCTTCTTGGAAACAGGATCCATAATAACATCTGATAAATGCAGAGATTACAAACCACATTGCCATACACTGCCCTTGTAAATCTAGAGTGCAAACTGTGTGAGTAAATACACCCACTTACAAAACACTATGGGACATTTGTGTTTTAAATAACAGAGTACACTGCTGTAACAGAAGGAAGACATCTCAGATGTGAGAACAATATTTCTCATTGCCTATGGAAGACCTTGAATCTGAATTTTAATCATAATGTTTAGCAAAATCTGTTGTTTATAATATTAAAGCGTTAGTCTCACTAGCAAAGGATTTTTTTAATTACAGTTGCATGGAGTATTATAGCAGGGAAAAATTAAAAGCATATTTGAGAGAGACAATGCTTACACTGCACATAATCCGAGCCACATGCTGGCGATTACAAGAGCAGCGTTCTGTTCATTAGAGCAGAGCTCACGAGAATCTGGGCAGACAAATCTGCTTTTTTCATTGTGAAAACTGTTTTCAAACTATTTAGCTTATCTGCACAGTTCGCAGGTTGAAGGGTTCTCATTGTCTTTCCAGAACATAATATTGGTGTACAGTTACACTGTTAAAAAGACAAATAATAATAATAATAAAAAAAAAAGAAAATACTTTTTGGACAGTTATTAAAAAGAAGTAACTGTCCATCCCCTCTGCTAAACTCACACATGCACTCTGCAGGCTTTAAATATTCCGTATATGAGTTTCTGCAAAATTGTTTTGTTTCAGAGGTTTTTGTTTGTTTATGCAATAAAAGTGAGACAGTCCAATAACTAACAAAAAAAAAAAAAAGTCCCAGTTTCAACTGCAAAGTCTTTTAATACTGCTGTACAAAAATGTGAATGGTGGCAGCCAAAGTGAATACAAATCCATACCAAACTATCTGACAATCTTTAATTCCTCTTTATTCTATTTTTCCTCTTTGGTGACTGATTAGACACTTGTACTATTGTCTTACTCCAAATTAAAGATTCAATCTTTTGATGCATTCAGAAGTCATGCAAAGAAAAAAAAAAAAAAAAAAAAAAAAAAAAAAAAAAAAGTAGAACAACTGCAGTACCTAAACTCTGCCACAAGATAGCAATACTTTACAAGCACTGAGTTAGTACTGAGACGGTAAACCATCCGGACAACAGGCAAGGTGAGTTAAGTAAATGCATCTGTTCAGTTAAGAGAGCTGCTTAACAGCAGTACTACTCCAGGCATTGAAGATACCTGATGATTTTTGCTTTAACTCTCTAATAATTAATTTCTGCAAAATTAGCAAATGAATGAATCTAATGTAGAAATGTGTCATCTCCTACTACTTGTTCAACACTTTAAGAAAAAACGGTGAAATAAAGTCAGAAATGTGAACAGGGACATCCATTACGGATTTGTTCTCTATTTTTCTATACACGAAACATGCAAAAAGAATACAGAATATTAAAAATGCATACGATTTTCAGATGCGATAGAAGCCTCATGACATCAGCCATATCAGCCAGGATGAGTAAGCGAGTGACAGCAGAAAGCAAGGCACGAGCAGCCCGCACCATGGTGCCCCGTTTCACTGAGGAGCATGGGTCATCAGCAAACTCCGAAGAGGCAATCCTCATTGTTTCTCCTAGAATTTTAAAAAAAAAAAAAAAAAGGTAATTAAAAATAGGTTTTACACTTGTACTTTTTTTCAGCAAGTATAAACAACTCACTAAATAAACTAATGCTATTTGGAAAAAACAGTGGCTTAGTGAATATTGAATTGCTCAGGAGAAGTATTTTACCACATCTGCAGCAACTGCCTCTATACTCTCTGCCTTTTTTTCTTTATTCCAAAACTGATCTTATTCTAGAGCTGTAACAACTACAAAGGAAACCGAAACACCAAGACAGACTGCTGAGCGCAACCAGCACAACATAAGAAAACCAGCAGCGTGCGTTATAGAAATACAGAACTCACCTGCACTGGTAGGGAGGACGGGACAGAGCACCCCAACAGTATCATCCCAATCGCATCTCTCTACAATTCTCCCTTCAAACAACATCCTTCTCCTTCACTCCTGCTCCCCCGTCCTCACCGCCTTTCTCAGATACTTACTCTGCTCTTCTGCACCTAGAAGACCTATCACTCTTATTCATGATCTGTATTATTTTTTTTCCCCAATCATAGAATCGTAGAACCCTTTAGGTTGGAAATGACCTCTAAGATCATCAAGTCCAACCGTTAACCTAACACTGTCAAGTCCACCACTAAACCATCTAAACCACATCTACGCAGCTTTTAAATACCCCCAGGGATGGGGACTCAATCACTTCCTTGCGCAGCATCTTCCAGTGCTTGACAGCCCTTTCAGTGAAGAAATTTTTCCT